AGCAGGAATTGCTAATGGGTGGGGGGAGATGGAGCTGGAGGGTGTTGGTATTCTATGGTGATTTCAGCTAAACTCTACTGGATATGAAGACAAGATGAGCAGACAATGATTAGAGAAAAATACAGCAAAGTTCTCTGGGAACTTTTCTAAAGAAGTACAACCTCCAAAACAGCAGGAGTACGTTGCCTAGAGTCAGGGGCTTGCGTACCCCATTCACAGTTCCATTTCCAGCCCAAGAATCCTTCAGTCCCTGGGAGGTAAGAATTTTCGATCAAAGTCTCCTGGGATCGCCTTACCTGGGGAGGAATAATCTGCTCAAAGCATGTTTATCTGCTGTGCTCTGTCTGCACTGGGTTTTTTTGTTTTTTTGTTTGTTTGTTTGTTTTTTGGCTGTTGTGCTGCTGTCCATAAATTAGACACTGCCTGTCCCACACTTACCCCCTACCTGTGTCTCCCCCTGCTTCTCTATTTGCGCCACTTGGGGTTTGAGTTAGACTCCACTCTCATGGAGTTGCAAAAGTCATGCTGAGGTGCTTCCAAGACCTTAAAAGACTCATCCAATCAAAAATCACCATTTCTCCTTAAACCATTCTTGCTGACAACATTCTACACAGGCTATAAGAAGGAAGCAGATTTTGTTAAGTACTGGCTATGTACTCAGTAGACTTTCTCTCAATAAAATCTCATGATAAACTGGAGATATTTTTATGACAATCTCCATTTCATGGTTAATGAAATAGTTAATGGTGAAACTCATAGTAGTTACAGCTACCATTTACTTAGCACAGACTGTGTGCTGGGCATTTTTCTAAGAGCTTTACGTGTATTAACTCATTTGATCTTATGGGGAAGGTACAATTATCATCCCCATTTTATAGGTGAAAAAAATGAAACAGACAAGTTAAGCAACTTGTAGAAACTAAAAGTGTTGGAGCTAAAATGGAATGGAGGTGAATCTGAGTTCAGAGCATCTTAACACTATGTTGAGGAACTGAGACACAGAGAGCTAAATAACTTGCCCAAGATCAGTCCTCAAGATCTGGGATTTGAACCCAGGCTCGTTTGTATCAAAAGTTGTCTGTAGCTCTCTCACCATGCTCCTTCCCCAAGAGAAGAGAGGAGCAACAAGATACCAATGTAATTCAGGATACCTGGGGAATTAGATTTCTTCATTTGGCAATCTGTTCTGTTCACATGGTCACCTGAAAAGTTGTTACTACTTTCTGTAATGGAGAACTTTTGTGGTCCCCTTCTCAACATGGAAGCGGAAGCAAAATTAAAATAACTTTAAAATAGCCTACATTTTCAAAGAAGAGAAACATCAGTTTATCTCCTTCTTTTCTCTCTGCTTATCTTACCATCTAGTATGTTTCTATCATTTCTAAAAGTCAAGAGCATTTTTCACTAATTAAAGATGCATCGAGTTTTTATCATCTTCAGCCCCCCAGGGTACTGAGCATATACTCCTGTAGTCAGTGGGGAGGGATTGGAGTGTTCCTCTGTTTCTAGTTCCCAAGTCTCTGCTCATCGTTGTTAAACCCTTCACACACCAAATGGTGAAAAGAACCTCTTTCAAGCTCAGAGGCCAACTTGGATTTGTTTCCACACAAAAAGTCTGAGATCTGGAGGTTGTAACCCCATTTCCCAGGCACCTCTATCACTGCCCCACACCACCCCTCTCCAAGCAAGTTACCTGACCGTGAGCTTGACCCGCAGGTATCGGTCCACGGCAATGGCTAGCAAGGACATGATGGAGGCGTGGGTGAAGATCAGCAGCAGGCAGGTCATGAGAAGGCAGCCATGAAAGTGGATTGTGACACCCAGGCTGATGACAATGGCCAAAGGCATGACCAGCACCCCGACAGCAATGTCAGCCAGGGCTAGGGAGACAATGAAATAGAAGGTGGTGTTCTGCAGGCTGGGGTTCAGTTTGACCACACAGATGACCAGCACGTTGCCCACTATGGCACAGAGCCCAATGAGAATCTCCACAGTGATGTAGGTAGCGTTGGCCATGGACATGGCAGTGCTGTTGACAGGCATCTCGCTTTCCAGGTGGAGCCTCCCAGGTGACATGTGTGCCAACAAGATCCGTGTGGACCAGTCAGCCTAGCTCTTGCCAGACATCTCGCCAGAGGTCCAGGTGCAGCAGCCACAATCCAGAACTCACAACTCGCCCATTCCTTCTCTTCTCTGTTGGAACCCCCTCTCCCCCTCTCCTTAGAGACAGTCCATCACAGGGCCATCACTTTCAGCCCCAACACAGGCCGTACACCCCTGGGCTCCCAGAAGCCTGGAGGACAGTTCTATGTGGGCTGAAAGTGAAAATGCTGCTTCTCATAGTTCCCCTGCCCCTGGAGGGCTACTTAAGCTCCATCAAGATAAGCAATGCTCTTCAGTGGTGTTTCAGGAAGTGAGATGGGCCAAGAGGAAGCACAGAGCCAGGAACACTCAGCAAGAAGATGGAAAGAATGGGGGCTGGGTGGGGGCATATTCGTAGCATGGAGAAGACTCAGCATTCGTTTACTCAGGGACTAGATAAGAATGTCACTCTGGGTGGAAGAGGAGCTGGGAGCACTGACTATGTAACATTCTGGCTTTCTGCTAGCTTATCAGAAAGATCGCGCAATAAGGAGGCAAGCAGAACACGAAGAAGAGAAGGAAATAGACTTTCGTGGCAGGCTCCTAAACTTAGCCAGAATGTACTCTTTCTAAAGAGTACACTCCATAGACTGACTGTGTCCCCCCAAAACTGATAGGTTGAATTCTGACCCTCAAGTCAAAGTAGTTGGAGGTGGGGGCTTTGGGAGGTTATTAGGTCATGAGGGTAGAGTCCTCATGAATGGGATTAGTGTCCTTATAAGAGGGACCCCACAGAGCTCCCTTGCCCCTTCCACCATCTATGTACCAGGAAGTTGGCTCTCACCAGACACAGGTTCTACTGATGCCTTGATCTTGGACTTCCCAGCCTCCAGAAATGTGGGAAATAAATCTCTCTTGTTTCTAAGTCACTTAGTCTTTGGTATTCAGTTATATCAGCCCAAAGGGACTAAGACAGCGCAGAACAGTAAAGGACTGAGAATTTGGCCACATGAGTTGACTCTGCTGAGGCATAGCTGGAACCCAGCCTTTGTATCAAAGATCTTTTGCCAAAGAGACAAACTAAGATTCCCTGTTCAGATGAGCAAAACTTCAGCACTTCCTGTAAGCATCACATCTGCTGACCCTCATCTTCCCTTCTCAGCCCACACACCCACCATGCCCTCACACTAGCAACCAGCCTGTGTCAAATCTGTTTGAGGGACAACAGGATGACCAGCCATGCAGAAAGGAGGGAAAGGGCAACATGTACACATGATCACACAGCATACCTCCTGCCCTCCGGCCCCAAGCCCCACCCCGCCCTGCAGGAACAGCCACATCTACCTGAAAATCAGACCCTCTCCCTGAAGCTGCTCACCTGGGAACTCCTGGGAATCAGACACTTGAATGCAATTTTTATTTGGAGTCCCCCTGGTTCAGGGGTTTCTCAGTGCCACCCAAAAGGGTTATTTAGAGAGACAGCAAAAGGAACAGTTGGACCTAAGCCCACACTGTGGATTGAAGGGTTGATAATACTTACCTCTAAGCACCAATCTATGTAGAGCCAAAAAATAAAATTTGACGATCACAGGAGTGCTGTTCTGGTGTTTACTAACAAACACCTCTCACTGGGGCACTGGCTAGATGCCTTAGCATGGGGCCTGCAGGGTCTTCTTTAGTTGTTCTGCTTCGGCATCATCCATCGACACCCCTACCCCCCCACTGCCCACCCTGCCGCATCCCAAGTCTGTCTGGTGTGCCCTGCTAATCCCTGCTAGACTTGCTCAGGGAGCTGAGCCAACTCCCCAGACATTAAGTGGCAGTCCTCTCCAACTGCATTTCTGTCTCTCCAGCATTTTCCAATGTTAGCCGTGCCCACATCCCTGCACTTTGGGAACATGAAAGGTGTCACCAGCCTCCAACATGACCTCTCATAAATGTCTCTACTGCAGCTGCTCTCTTTATCTCTGCTCTGGAGAAGGAAGACATAGAGAGTGATTTCTAGGAGGCTGCATGCGACCGAAACAAGTCCTTCTCGCTATAAAGCAGTTGTTGAATCTTGGTAATTCACTGCCAACCATGTACCCCGGCTCCCGACCCTCAGCCACCCAGTAGTACCAAAACCTTATGTGAGAGAAAGACCCTCTGGGGTAGCAATGAGTCGTGTTGCCTGGCTGTGGTGATGGTATAGCTAAGGAACATTTTTCCTGGGGGATTTGGTAACCCCGGGTCTGCCTGGGGTGGCCAAGGACAGAGCGAGTGGGCTCATGGCAGAATGAAGCACAGACAGCTGCTCTGTGTTTGGGAGCTGGGAAGACAGTGGACAGTGCCTGCATTTAAAGAAAAAAGCCTGTGGCCCTTGTGCAGCTGTGGGCCAGGAGCTTGGGGGAGGGAGAAGGAGGTGGAGGCCAGGGAAAGTCCCTGAACCACAGATCCATCCTACAGGAAGTGAGCCGAGCTGTTAGGGAGGGAAGTGACAGCAGGAGCTGGAAACCCGACTGGTGTGTGTTTTCAGATTCCAGCCTATTTCCCCTCCTTTAAGACCCAGATGAGTCCTTCCAGAATCAGCCCATCTCATCTGGGTTAGAGAAACCAAGAAGAAGGGTTTTGCTCAACGACCAGTCACAAGGGCAGTGTGGTGGGGACAGGATAGCCTGTGAGGCTGTAACCCACAGTAACAAGGAGAGACAGGGGACACACTTGGGGCCACTGACCCAGCCACCGCTCCCCCGGCCCCCGCTTCCCCAGGAATTGTTCCCAGAATCCCCTGCACAAACCTGGGGCATTTCCTCTCCATGAATAAAGGAAGCCCTTCCTTTATATATTTTCTGAGTAGACAGAGCCTGTCGATACTCAGGGGGCTGATGTGAGGGGTGAGGAGGAAGGCTTTCACAGCCACTTAGCATTTTGGCGTAAGACGGGGCCCTGAGTGTCCTTTTCATTCTAGACCGAACACCAAAGGGCAGCCAGGGAAAGAGGACAGAGAAACCAGGAGGAATGGTCCCCTTTCCCCATCCCCCCAACCCAATCCATAGCCACTCTTAGTCAGGGAACTGCCCTCATCACCTCTGAGCCCCCTAACCCAGCCCCAGGTGCAGCCTCCATGTTGCCCCCGCGATCAAGTCCAGACTCCTCGGAATGGCGTTGGAGACTCTCTGTGAGGGGGTCTCCCAGCCCCTGCAGTCTCCTGTTGCCTGGTTCATCAGGAAACCATAAGTGCCACTGGGCCACGTGTCCCGGGGCTCAGAGCGAGCTCTTTCACTTCCTCTCCCCTACGCACATGCTCCTTTCTGGCTAGGAAGGCCCTTCTCCTGTGCATCCACACAGAAAACAAGCACTTTTCCTTCTAGACACTTCTCAAACTGAAACTTGAAGAAAAATTTGCAGACCCCACCCGCCCCTGTCCCATGCTGGGTTTATATAATCCCTACCCTGTTATTCTTTGAGCTCCTGGAAGGCAGGGATCTCCCCTTTTCACTTCTGCAATTCTATCCCCTACCACAATGCCTGGCAGCTACTAGGTGCTCAGGATATTGACAAAAATGGAACCTCAGTGAACCAGGGGGCATAAACTTAGCACTGGGTGTAGAATACCAATCAGCTAGGACCTGTGAAGCACTTTCCATTATACCAGCTGTTGTGTTGAGCATTTTATATATCTGATCTCCTTCGATTCTCTCTCATGAAGTAGATATTGTCATTACTGTTGAGGCTCAGAAGGGTTAAGTAACTTGCCCCCCGGGGTACAGAGCTAGGAAGTGGCAGAGCTGGCATTCAAACCCAGGTTCCTGGCTTCCGTAAATGCGTAAGCAAGAAGGGCTTGGGCCCCAAGGGGATCTCTGTACCAGAAAGAAAACCTTTTGTTGAACCAAGGTGCCCCACACAAAAATAATTTAATAATAAAATAAATTATAAGTGAAACGTGGCTCAGCAGATTTTCCCATCTAAAAGAAAGCCCATGTCTGTTTAGGTTCTATTGAAAAAACCTGAAAATATGGAGGAGGGAAGGGTCTGGGAGGAACCATGAGCCTGAATCAGAGAAAAAGCAGCTGGAGTCCCAGGAAAAGGCCTCTCGTGTCCCAAACCCTGGCCTGGAGCCACCGTGGGCTGAGGCAGCTGGACTCAGATCACCTGCAAGGCCACAACCTGGCCCTTGGGCTTCTGCTTAAAAGCCTAAGAGCCCGGCCAGAGACGGTTCATCTGATCCTTTGCAGCTTCTCAGAAAAGCCTGGGAAATCCCAGCACCCAGCCTGCAGTAACAACAAGATGCAGTGTTAGCAGGGGCCCAAGGAAAGGACTCTGCAGCCCCAGAACTGGTGCAGGTGGTTGCTGAGACAGGATGTCAGGCAGGCGGAAGGTGCTGGCTTCTGCCAGGGGCTGGCTCTCACTGACTCAACTGCTGCCTGCAGAGTTGCACAAAATCATTTTGCTCACTTCCTCTTGGCCCCATCACCACTTCCCCAAAGATTTATATTTTTATAGAACTTGATGCTTGCCAGCCAATAGCAGAGGCTTAGAAAGAGCAAGCGCTCAGAGTCCCTCCAGGACGGTGGTCTGCTCTTACTCCCCCTCTGCCAGCCCCCCTTCCTTCTCTGCCTCTCAATCAAGCCAGAGGGAGGAGGCTGGGCTGATCTGGAGCCACTGTCCCCAGGGGGCTTCCTACTAGGACTTCAGCTGTGACCAAGGAGCCAGGGACTCCCTATAGCCTGAGTTCAGCAGAGACTCACTTAAAGCCAGTGTGATGAGGGAGCAGAGAGGTCAAGTTTCCTTCACTCTGAGCAACAGGAAATCCTGCCCAACCAAGGGGAACTGTTCCTGGCACCTACGCCCCACCCACCAGACCCTCCACCCACACTTGAGTGTGTCAGAAGGCCTCTGGGCTCTAGTGGAGAATCCAGAGAAGGGTTCAGCTAACTATATTTGTTCCAGGTTCTAGGCACTTAGGAAGTGAGGAGGTGTTCCAACTACCGGAGTCTTAGCAGGTAAGAGGCTTTTATTCCTGTGTCCCTGTTGGGGCGCTATGTGCAGCAGTGACCACCAGGTGGCAGCACATTTCCACTGCCACTCAGGGTGCAGGCTGAGCAAGAAAATCCCTGAGAATTTAGCAGCACAGCCTCCGAGCACCACCTAGCCAGCCCCCTCAGATCGCGCAGAAAAGGAAAGAGAGAACTAAGGGGAAGGGAGACACAGAGAGACTGCCATCTGCCTAAATTCAATCCAATCCCAAAGAATATTCCTGGGCAGTACCAAATTCCATCCTCTTGACTCAAGGGGCTGAAAAGCAGCTTCTCCT